AGCCGCTGCCACCACCGCCGCATCCACCGGCTTAGAGGCGGCCATGACGAGCGCCCTCCGCCGCCGCCTCCCTGCCTGTCGCGGGCGCCACAGTCACCAGGCAGCGAGCGAAGGGAGACCGGAGGCAGGCAAGGAAGGCAATGTGCGAGCGAGCGAGCACGCCAGACAGCGAGAGCGGACGACAGAGAAGGGCCAGAGGTCACCGGAAGCCTGGGGCATGCCGGGCCAGACCTGGCGGTCCTCCGCCCGTCTCAACCGGAGGGGCGGGAGGAGCGGAGAACCACTTCCGGGTTAAGGGAGAGGGCGGGTGTGAGGTGGGAGTCCTAAGACGTTCTTTCTCTTTCCTTTCGCCTCGCAGTTTGGGAGAATCACTTCTGGGGTCCGGGGCCTCCCGGGGCGGCCAGTGTTGTCCCCTCCGTCTTCAGGAAGGAAAGGCAGAAGCGGAGGAGGGGTGCGGACACGGCGAGCTAAGGTGCGCCGGTGACCGGATCCGAGGAAACGAGCTCCGCAGCGGCGCTATGAATGGGCGGGCGTGGCAGAAGAGATGTGGAGCTTATTGGTTCGCAGGAGCAGTGGGTGGGGCGTGAGCCGAGCGGCTCAGCTTATTGGTGGATTTTGGACCCCGTTTTCCCGTTACCGCCACGCTGGCGCTTCTTGGACCTGGGTGGCCGTTAGCTCGGCTTACTGTGAGCGTGTAGGGGGAATCAACGAATGGAAAGGACTTTTTTTTTTTTTTTCCAATTTATTTTATTTAACAGTCTAGGAAGTTTGCAGCCATCAGCAGTTCCAGTGCAATTTCAGGTGCAATTGGGAATTCAGGAATCTCGGTGGAACTGTTAGTGTAGCGAACCTTGTAGGTAAAATACACGCATACTTTTGATAGCACAATGTGCAGGGATCTCTCTAAAATTGACCTCATTGGGTTCATTCTCAGCAAATGGACCTGGACCACTCAACATGGCTTTTATTGTTCCCGAGGTTAATGCATGCTCTTTTTGTGCAATCAATTCATGACCACCAGAAGATATCAGTTTAACATCAGGGCCTTCACAGCCTGCATAGGTTTTCTCCTCTCCATTCGTCAGCCCCGCAGCCGGGTCCCCGTGCACCGCCACAGCCCCTACTCCAAGGGCCGAGCCCCCCGCCCCCAGCTGCCTGCCCCCGTGGGTTCCGGGGCATTCGCGGAAAGGGCTTTTAAAGGTGTGTGAGGAAAGAGCCCAAAGCTGAAAATAGCCTTGCTCTGTCTCCCAACGGAGCTACTCATCGCTACCGTAGCCAGAGTTTAGTTTGGACGAGTTCGAGGTTCTAGGGGAGATGGCAGGTGGCAGCCTCCGTGGAAATGAGCAAATAAAGGCAGGCTCCAGTCGGAGAGCGGCTCGAGCGGGGTCCCTGCGGCTCGCCGTCTGCGCCGACTGACTACGAGGGCGGTGACGTCTGTGTCGTTAGGAGCCTCTCAAGCAGAGTGGGTAGAAACGCGAAGCCCGAATCGCCACCTGCTTGGAGCCGTCCCGGGCGTGTGTGTGTCCCGAGCCGGTTTCCGCCGGGCACCCCAGCCCCCAGCTCGCCTCCCGGAGCTCCCGCACTCCGGTCCGCCCACCCGCAGACTGAAGTTTGGCTGGAGCTGTCTCAGCCGTCTTCTCCTCTCATTCCCAAATCGTCATTACAGCTGTAGCGTCCCCATCCCTCACAGCTTCGGCAAGTCTTTTACCCCATGCTCGGCACCAGGTCTTTAAAAATATAAAAATGGGCCGGGCGCGGGCACTTTGGGAGGCCGAGGCGAGAGGATTGTCTGAGCCCGGGGGTTCGAGACCAGCCTGGGCAACTTGGTGAGACCACACACGCACACGCACACGCACGCACACACACACACACACACAGTAGCCGGGCGTGGTGGCAACTTGGTGAGAAAACACACACACACACACACACACACACACACACACACACACACACATACACACACGCACACAGTAGCTGGGCGTGGTGGCGTGCGTCTGGGGTCGCCTGAGCCCAGCAGGTCGAGGCTGCGGTGGCCATGAGCATGTCGCTGCACTCCAGCCTGGGCGACAAGAGTGAGACTTGAACTTAAAATACACACACACACACACACACACACACACCCCACACATGACCTTTGCAAGGCGCTGTGTGGAATTCACAGTATTTTCGTGAAGCATAGTCACGATATTAATATTCATATTAATCCAGAGTCAACATCCAGAACCACGGATCCTCGTTTCAGGTATACTGGCTTGCTGAACGCTTGCATTCAAATTTTATAAATGATCATTTTGCTTTTTTAGTACAACCGGGTTTTCAACATCGCAGTAGTGTTACATAAAGACTGAAAGGAGATAATGTATAAAGTGGCACCAAAATGGACTGATTAAACTAGAATGGACTAATTTGAAAGAATTTCAGGATCATTGCTTTTCTCCTGCTTCATGTAAATTCCTGTTAGTAAATTGCCTTCAGGCAATAGGGTTCCTTAGCAACAGACTAAAAATAGCACTGGAATTGAGTTGATCATGCTGGCAATCGGCTTCTCTCCCCGCCTGATCCCCCCAGTTCCCGAAGGCAAGTTTTCTGCCCCTTAACATAATCTCTGCCTTGCCTTTTGAGAACAGAAAGTTAAGGCTTTTCTCTTCTGAAATTTCACTTTTCTGTGACCTCTTAGAAGAGTAAAGAATGTTAGTTAGTAATTACAAACTATTGTTAGGAAGAAACTAAACAATAAAGTTTTTTTTTTACTCTTATTTTTTGGAATAGACAATAAATTGTTGAGGTTAAAATCCGAAAGTTACAAAAGCTTTTACTGTGAAAATTCTTCCAATCCCTGTCCCCAGTCTCATAGTTCCCCTCTCCAAAGGGAATCGATGTTAGTTTCTTGAAACTTTTTTCTAACATTAACAATATTTATATAAAGGGCTGATGTGCTTTGGTTTTATTTTTTAAGATTTGCTTCAGTAAATGAATTCATTCTTGTTACTTTTATACTTTGTTAAATGTCTCATTTCCATTCCCTAGCCTATACATCTTTTTCTCCCATTTTCTCCTCCTTTTCCTAATTGATGCTAGTGTAGAATCAAATTGAGAATGTCACTGGCTTTGGGACTTTGCTGACCTGATACATATTTTTCTAACCTGTGAAATGGTTCACACCCACCTCTCAGGTTATAGTAAACACTTAATTAGATAGTATTCAAAACCCTTTTAATTTTTCTTACAAAATAGTAGACATTTGATGCTTAATTCTGTTTTTCTAAATTAAAGGAAAGAAAATATGTTTCCTTTCTGAAAAAGTGAAGTTTTATACATGTGAACATAGACATTTTCTTTTTCTTGGTAGATTAAAGAAATTCAACAGAAGAAGCTTTCTTTGCCTTTTCTCAGTGTAACTGAGTTTAAGCCCGTTCAAATAAGTTGAGAGACAAGGAATTGCAGCAAAGAATGTGATTTTATTTGAGTGCCAGCAAAACCAAGAAGGTGGGGGTAGCATCTGAAAGACCCATTTTAGGTTGTGTAAGCTTAGGTTGTGTTTTCATCTAGGCAGAGGAGGGAAAGGAGGTGGACAAGATCAAGAGATGGCGGACAACCACAGACATGTGGGTACCAGGAGGAGACTGGGAAAAGTTGTGAAATCTCTTTGTCCTTGGTTAATGGTATCTTTGTTCCTTTAAATCTTTAACAAAACATAGTGTACATACTCCCCTCTCTCCCAGAGTTTGGCAGCTGCATACTTGTTCCTACCTTATCTTTTCAGTGTTACAAAGTTATCCTAGCATACCTAAAAGAATAAACAGAGGCCCCGAGGTCCCCTTCTTCCCCTAGGCTAAAAAGGAGTTATGCTAGTCTTTTGCCATTTCAGTACGTCTTAGGAGGCAGTTGAATGAGGTAGAAAATCGAATGGACTTGGATTTGACAGTCTTAAATTCTTATTCTAAATTTTAATACCACTGTGTGTGTGACTGTAGGCAACTCTGTTTTCTATATAATGTCAGGGGTGGATTAGATTATTTGTAAAACTGCATATTGTTTTAAAATTATGTGATTCCATCCCCTCAATTGTCATTGCTACATGAATGGCTTTCAGGTGAGTAGAGTTGGTAGGTAGGCAGCTGGTTGGTTGGCATCCAAATCTTTCAGCAGGTCTACAAGCATGCTTATGTTAAGCATATACATACACAGCTTTATTTTCTTTCAGCTTTCTCTTAGATTTTATTCTGTTTTTCTTCACTGAAAAATTATTGGAAAGAATTGTCTACAATTCGCTGAAAAAATTATTGGAAAGAATTTATTACCCATTTCATCCCAAACCTGTTGTAATCTGGTTTGTAACTTTATAATTAGTCTGAAACTGCTTTAGAAGTCATGGAACTCATTGTGAGTTTTTCTTTGTTTTGTTTTTGTTGTTTGTTTTTGTTTTCCATCCTTCATACACTTTTACTTGATACCACTGATCATTCTTTCCCTGAAGCGTTCTTTTCCTTTGCTTTCAGAAGACTAGACTCTTCTGGTTTTTCTATTCTCTGACCAATCTCTAGATCAGTGCTGTCCAACACAGCTTTCTGTAATGTTGAAAATATTTTCTATTTCTGATGTCCAATGTAGTAGTCACTAGTCTCATGGGGCTACTGAGTGCTCTAAGTGTAGCTTGTGTGACTAAGAAACTACATTTTTCATTAATTAATTTTAACTGATTTAAGTAGCTTCATGTGACTAATGGTTGGACAGCACAGCTCCAGATCTTCCTCAAGTAGAGGAATTCATAAGAATATATATTCTTCTTTGCAATCTCTCCATTAGTAACCAAAGTAAATCTCATTGCTTCAGGTACCATTTCTCTGAAGAGAATCACCATCTACACATCTCTTAGCATAACTTCTCTTTTGTTTCCAACCCTATATTTCCTACTACTTACTGAGCACCTTTGGTTGAATGACTAATTTTTGTCAAAAATATAATTCATCATCTTCCCTCTCTATTCTTTCTTTTTGTGTTATTCTTTTTTCTCATAAAAACTCTATTACCTTAGTGATTACTCATATTTGAAAGCTTAGACCTTTTTAAACCTTTCTTTTTTTCAACCCTGCTTAAGCACAGATGATTATGCTGATACATATACATGTAAACTCAATATCAACTGTGAAGTCTTCAACAAAATCAACTTCTTTGCAATGTCTTTTATATTTTCTCCCTTTTCATGTCCTCTGCCATTTCCCTAGTTCAAATATATGAAAACACTTAAAAGGTATGCACAACACATAACAGATGCTCAATAAATAGTTTATTCCTGTCTTTGTCCGTTCAAGTTGCTATATCAAGAATACCATAAACCGAGTGGCTTATAAACTACAGAAATTATTTCTCACAGTTCTGGAGGGTAGAAATTTAAGATCATGGTACCAGTATGGTTGAGTTCTGTGAGAGCCTTTTTCTGGGTGGTAGATTTCCAATTTGGCATTGTGTCCCCATGTAATGGAAAAGTGCATGAAAACTCTCCAGAGTTTATTTTATAAAGGCACTAATCCCATTTTTAATGGTTCTGCCTTCATGACTTTATCACTTCCCAAAAGGCCTCAATTTCTAATACTATCACATTGAGGTTTAGGATTTCAACATGAGTTTGAGTCAGAGCGGGGAGGGGCACATAATATTTATTTTCTTTTTTCTTTCTTTTATCCATTTCCTTCATCTTTCTTAAACCATATATTTGCTTCCCGCATAGCTTCCGTGCCTCTAATGCCTCTCTTCTACGTGTCATCCTGTGCCTTGTTATCAGATTACTCTTGCCACAGCATAACTGCAGTTTCATTTTTGAGCTCAAAGACTTTTAGACCATCTTCACTTTTGTGATAAAGTTAAATGTCTCTTCCTACCATACTTCTCACACACTTCCTCTGTCTCTTTGGTCCATGATATTAGCATCTAGCAATGTTTAAAATCATTTACATGACACCCATCTTCCAGTAGAATGTAAGTCCTATGAGGACAGAATCTTTGTTCATTTTGTACTCCCGAAGCCGAGGGGGGTGGCTGATGTGATGGTTAATTTCATGTGTCAATTTTACTAGACCATGAGGTGCCCAGATATTTAGCCAAACACTTGCTGGGCATGTTTGTGAGAATGTTTTTGATTCCTTGATTTTTATTTTTAGTGTATTTATTTTAGGTTTTTGCTTTCTGGTTACCATGAGATTTACAATAAAAGGCTTCTTGGCTGGGCTCAGTGGCTCAGCCTGTAATTCCAGCACTTTGGGAGGCCAAGGCTAGTGGATTGCCTGAGCTTGCAAGTTTGAGACCAGCCTGGCCAACTCTGCGAGACCTCATCTCTACGATAAGTCAAAATATTAGCCAGGCATGGTAGCACATGCCTGTAGTTCTGGCTACTTGGAAGGCTGAGGCGGAAGGATCGCCGGAGTCTAGCAGGTCAACACTGGGGTGGCAGTGAATGTGCCACTGCACTCCAGCCTGGGTGATGGAGTGTGACTCCAGCTACAAAAAAAAAAAAATTCTTATAACTATAACAGGTTATTTTAGCTGATAATAACTTAACTTTGAACACACACACACACACACACACACACACACACACTACACTTTAGCTTCACTCTCCCCCACACTTTGTATTTTTGATGTCACTATTTACATCTCTTTATATTGCATATCCCTTAACAAATTACGGTAATTATTATTTTTAATAGTTTTATCTTTTAATCTTCATACTAAAAATATAAGTGATTTGCATACCACTATTATAGTGCAATACATTAGAGTATTGTGAATTATTATATACTTTTGGCAGTGAATTTTATACTTTTAGATGTTTTTGTCTTACTCACTAGTGTCCTTTTTTCTCAACTTGAAGAAGTCCCTTTAGCATTTCTTGTAAGACAAGTCTGGTGATGGTGAACTCCCCTCTCTTTTTTTTTTTTAAATCTGGAAAAGACTTTATCTCTTGTTCATTTCTGAAGGACAAATTTGCAGAATGCAGTATTCTTGGTTGTCATTTTTTTCTTCAACCCTTTGAATATATCATCCCACTTTCTCCTGACTTGTAAGATTTCTACTGAGAAGGCTGTTGCTAGGCATGTTGGAATTCCCTTATATGTTATTTGCTTCTTTTTCCTTGCTGCTTGTAGGATCCTTTCTTTGTCTTTAATCTTTGTAGTTTGACTGTAATATCTCTTGGAGGGTAGTCTGGATTGAATTTGATATGGATTGAATCGGGTTGCAAACTTTTGACTTTCCTGTACCAGTATATTTATATCTTTCTCCAGGTTTCAGAAATTTTCTTTCTTTTTAGGTACTTATTTATTTTCTTTTATTGATATTAGATATTTATTCTGATCACAAATGCAATTCAAGTGTGAATAAGGTGTGGGATTTTTTCTGTTATTATTTATTTATTTTTCTTTCTTGGAGACAGGGTCTCACTCTGTCACC